GGTCCGAGGTTCGATTCCCTGCCGACGCACACCTGATATCTATGGTCGGGCTGCAAAATTTGAGCTACCGATATCTATCCTGAAAATTCCATACTTGTACCGAAAATGCGGTGTGGAACAAAGCTGTAATCAAAAATAATTTTAAAAAAATAAAATAAATTTATTGATATATATTAATTCGAGCAAATATTTAGTGGATATGTGGCTCAGATGGTAGTGGCTTTCGTATTTCAGTCAACTTTTAGATAATATCCAAGTGTTGGTTTGTAGGGATTTGATTGATTGGTAACAGGATTTCATCATGAGCTGACATCGGTTAGAGAACCATTGGGAGTACTGGACAGCTGTTTCGTCCTATTTTTTTGACTCTCCAGCAGTACGCGCCCACCAGGGTTCTAACCCAGGAGGTTCTGGTTAAAAGGCTAACGAGCTCGTAGACAACTAAGCCACTGGGACCCGATCCAGTTTTTGGATTTCGATTATGTGCCCACCTTATAATAAGGCTTCGGAAGAGGATTGGATGTATTACCTAAATTCGTCAGTGGTTCGCACACAGAGCTGGTGGTTGGAATTCGACTCCTTGCCTAATGCACTCCTAAACTAGTCGATAGTAAGTCTGGAAAAGGGAGGTTAGCAATTCTGTCCTGTATCAAAAAATCAACTTCACCGCCTCATCCGAACTGATAGATGCTAGAAGACTTATTCCGGCGAGCTCCGAATTCAATGAGGAGCGAAAGCTGCACAAAAGGAAACTTACGAAAAGTCTCCGCAAGGACCGTGAACAGTGGTGGGCGACAAAAGCCAAAGAGATGGAGAAAGCTTTGAGGATAGGCAACACCAGGCAACTCTTTGGACTCATCAGGGAAACGGGTGGGAGAAGACAAATCACTAGTGAGACAATCTCGGAAAAAAATGGCACTATAATTAGCTCACAGGATAGACGGCTGGATCGTTGGAAAGAGCATTATGAGGAGCAGTTTAATTTGCCCACAGCCACGCTCAACCTTCCGAGCATCCAACACCTCCCTGAATGGGATATAGATACAGGTCCTCCGTCACTAACTGAGGTTACTAAAGCTGTCACCAATCTGAAACTAGGCAAAGCAGCGGGACCTGATGGAATGACGCCAGAGGTATTTAAGTACGGTGGAGACAGCTTACTGTCAGGATTAACTGAGGTACTAGGCAGCGTTTGGGAATCAGAAGAAGTCCCATCGGGTTGGTGTAAGTCACTGATTATCCCCATATACAAGAAGGGAGACAAGTCTTCCTGTGATAATCACAGAGGGATTAGCTTGACTAATATAGTATCTAAAGTCTTAGGCTCAATAATCATGCGTAGACTGAGTGGTGCTCGGGAGACACAAACACGAGAGAGCCAGGCAGGCTTTAGACCAGGAAGAGGGTGTATTGATCATATCTTCACCCTCCGACAGATTCTAGAACATAGGCATTCCTACCGGCGTCCAACAGTCATTATATTTCTTGACCTAAAGGCAGCATTCGACTCTGTCGATCGGGAAGTTCTCTGGAGATGCTTGGCTGTAAAGGGAATTCCAAGAAAATATATTGCACTGATTAAGGCACTCTATTCGTACTCATACAGCCAGGTGAGGGCTTACGGCGAGCTGTCATCTGAACTGATGACGACCAGTGGTGTCCGTCAAGGAAGCCCATTATCTCCTTTTCTATTCAAATTCATCATAGATGTGTTAATGGACTTAACCCTAGGTGACTTCAGCGACTCAGGGATTGACTTGCTACCGGGGATAATCTCGTTGACTTAGAATACGCAGACGATATAGTCCTTCTAGGCGAAGACGCTGACGAAATGCAGAGTCTTCTAAACACCTTGAGCCGCAATCTACGAATGTTTGGCATGCGATTCGCTCACGCCAAATGCAAGATGATGTTACAGGACTGGACTACATGGACGCCTAGTTTAAAAATAGGAAGTGAAGTGGTAGAGCACGTCGACCGCTTCACTTATTTGGGAAGTACCATCAGCCCCAGTGGGTTGATCTCTGACGAAATCTCAGCACGAATACAGGGGGCTCGTTTCGCATTTGCCAGTTTACGCCGACTCTGGCGTAGACGAGATGTTCGACCATCAACCAAAGGGCGGGTGTACTGCTCATCAGTCCGCTCTGTCCTCCTTTATGGCTGTGAGACCTGGCCACTGAGAGTGGAAGACATGAAAAGACTAGCTGTCTTTGATCATAGGTGCCTGCGTTCTATTTCCCGTGTAAAGTGGCATAATAAGGTGAGCAACATGGAGGTTAGGCGTAGAGTTCTAGGTAAACAGGGGAAATCAATCGACGAAGTGGTGAAGTTACAAAGACTGAGATGGTTAGGACATGTGTTACGTATGCCAAGTCATCGCCTCCCTCGACGAGCTATGTTAGCGGATATAGGGTCAGGCTGGAAAAAAGCTAGCGGCGGTCAAACAAAAACTTGGCATCAGTCAATGAAATCCACAACAGTTGGTCTAAGCCACGTAGAAAGGTGTAGACTTCCAGGCTGGGGTCCTCGGGACGGTAAAAATCTATGGTTGGAAACAATTGGTGACATGGCTCAAAACCGTTCTCAGTGGCGCAGATGCATCCACTCCCTGTGACTTATGATCCTCAATGAAACTGTTTTGTATTTCTTTATTACTCCTTTGTCTCACACCTCCGCTCACTGTTTCTATTATGCTTTTCTTGTACTTTCTTCTCTTGCTTCGCGTGCTACACGGAATGTGGCGACTTGAACTTCCGCACATTTGTGCAAAGTTCTATGTCGAAAACAGACAGACAGACAGACTTCACCGCCAGGAGGACGACGTCGAAGCTTCAAGTCATAAAAATTAAGTCATCTGTTTATGATTTAGTCAGGTGAACCACTCAGTTTCTTTCACTCTTAGTGTTGCTTTTTGGAGAAGGCACTGAGGTGTTTGACACTTGCCTAACACATATGCCCCTAGCTGTTTCTCAGATGATGGAGTTATTTACAATCGCATAAGAATTCACTTACATGTTGCAAGGAATTTTTACCATCTTCTTGTAAAAAGCAAATAATTTTCTACTAGTAGAACCGCTCTTGTGTCGGGAGCACAGCAGTAGGCTGCTCGTCGACCACGCGTGTGGTCCAGGTTTCAAACCCCGGCCACCGACGCACTCCTTTACTTAGCCAAGCCAGTAATAAGAGTGCTAAAAAGGGAAGGTTGGGCATGAGGCTGGCTGGCTAGCAACCCCATCACGTAAAAATAAAACACCATTGCTACCGAAATTTCAAAGCTCTTACTTGAAGGTGCCCTATTTTCGACTGAAAACGTAAAAAATAAAAGTAAGACCTCCTAGCTGAGGAAGGTTTTAACACTATTTTTAGGTGTAATCAACAGCAGTATTTTCTACACTATTAGTAGCGACCTATTATTCACCTTTTAAGTCTCCTTTTTTCCCAGTTGTTAGATATCGTCATGAATCAACCTTTATTAAAAACCACCGAAAACTAGGGAGCACTGGATAGTTGTTTCTTACTGGCTTGGAACTCTTCAGCTATGCTCACCCACGACCCTAACCTTCCCCCTCAGAGATTGAGCACATTAAGAGACTAAGCTTGTTGACTGTTCAGCCGTGAATTCTAATTATACTATCTACCGATGCCTTCGGTGAGCACCTACCTCACCTTCATATGGTATTATTGGGATCCCGCTGGTCAAAACTTTTCACTAAAGCTCCAGAATATCCATCCAACCTGACGGTCCTGATTTCCTTCCGTGATAGGTCATACATGCGTACTGCCGTAGAGGCACAAACTAGGATGAAACAGCTGTGCGTCAGTGCACCTTGGCATTCAATTGTCTCTTTAAATGGATGTTAGTTCGTTACCAAATCTAACAATTGACATTAATCCAAATCTCCATATAAATCTCACAGAATCTAAATATCTCTGCCCTGTTCGGTACAAAAGAGGAGGCTAAGTAGGGTGCCTCTCTTCAGTAGAATCCAATGAATATGCACTGAAGACACACTTGATGAAGAAGAAAGAAAGTCGACACATACTCTGGTTGATAACAATTATCCAAACAAGTTCATCAGAAGATATAAAGTGGTCAGAACATTAAAACCCATTCTCCGACTCACCGCCATATGGGGGATCATAGCAGCTTGATAACTCGACAAAGACTGAATGCTGCTGTGGTTAAAAAGACTTTTTATACATCTGAGATTAGAATAATTGAGAATGTAAAGCCAATATATCCATCTAGGCCCTTTGAGCATGCGAAAAATGATGTCACATCCCAGCAATTTGAATGTACGTGTGGACACATACATAGGGAGGACTCATCGATCTCTGCAAGTAAGGTCTGGCTTCAGAGCATATTCCTAAATGGCTTCAGAAGCAAACAGAATTCCCGAGGACCCATTAATTGTGAGAAAAGATGACGACCTAGCTCGTCTATTCCGAAACATATTATAGAGACAGTATATAAAATTGATGTTCACACATCTTTTAAACCTATCTATCTGTAAAACGTGTTTGAGGGGGGGGTGGTATCCTAAAGTTTGTCGAAGCCCTAACTAGCAATTAGGAATTTTTAAACCACCTTTATGCGTTCATCAAAAACAATTCGTCATTACACACTAAACCTTCCTTGGTAAACTTTGTTTTGATACCAGCTAGGGTAGGTTGTATATCTACCTCTGTTATTTGGTTGAGTGATCTTCATTGTTTTATTTTGACCTTCAATATGTCCTTCTAGTTTGACATGAGTCTATTTTCTCACTTCTTACCTCTTTATTAATTTCATATATTTGTACTCCTATGACAAATCCGTGGAGTGTGATCAGATTGTTTGAAATAAGTGTTGTACGCGAATACAACAACACCATTATACACACGATTCAGACAAATTACGTCTTCTTATTGCTTTGTCTAACTGAATTCAATAAAGAGAACACTAATTGTTCTAAATGATCTGTCTTCTTTTTTATTTTTATTTTTAACATTTCTAGATTCTAACAGATAAAACAACTGGTGGTCAAAGTGGAAATTTTACACTATACCTAGTTGTACATGTTCTGTGTGCAATTGGCACCTGGTTGTTAGGAGTTTATCTAGACTGTGTACTTGATAGTAAGTCTGATTATGTGATGGTGAAGTTTTTGATGATATAAAGTAACTGAACACTGAATAAATTATTAACCACATTTCTGGGTTACAATACATCTTGACAGTTGGATTATTTACCTTCGTGTTGTAACAGAAGAAGACAAGGGCCATGCGACAAACCGTTTATTAAGGAAATCACCACATATTTATATATTTTCATGTACATTATTATAGATTAGTATACAATTTGTGGATGGTGGCTAGCAGTGCAATCCAGGATGCGCATTTCGTCCCATTTTGGACTCGTCAGCTGGATGTACCTACATTATTATAGATTAGTTAGGCAAACAAACACAGTCCTCTGATTGGTTAAGTTAATCTTTCATCTCTTTGTGGATGTTTCTTGAATGTCAGATCATCTATGCGCTAACTGTATCCGCCTACGCAGAGCCTTTGTTCTCATTTTTCTCATCACGATCAATATTGGGGATATAAATATTGACGTAAATTACTGTCTACCGCCTTTGGTTAGCAGCCAGCTCTCACCACAGTGTAACTAATTCTTGTGACTTGGACGCCAATTGACAGAACATGGGATCGGTGACGAGACATTAGTTTAACCAAACAGACTACTGAGACGTAATTGGTGGACAATTCCCAAATGACGGCAATAAAAATATATTTATTCCTGTCTATGCAGGAACATACCAACAGCATAGAAATGGATAAGTTATTATTTAAACTGCATAAATTTAGTTTATAGTGAATTTTACATGGTTACTGTTCAGCGGGAACAGTAAGTGAATGTAGCTCGTGAGGGAATTTAGAAATATTGCCATTGCATTGACAAGAAGAGATTCAGGTCTATGTTGGATGGATCACAAATCATTATAATATTATTATTGTTCCTTTGGGTGTTCTGAATGGAACATACGGCTTCAACAACGCATCTCCGCTTTTCTGCTGTCCTCTTCAGCTGGCTGGGTCCATGATTGTCCATAATCTTTTATCTCCTCCTCTCATAATCTCCTCCATATCACTCTTGAACTGACGTCCCACTCATCGTTTCTCATTCGGGTTCCACTTGAGTGATGGCCTGCATTGGGCTCGATGTCATTCGACAGTCTTTTCGATGTGTGTGCCTGTGTGTATGCCAATGCATCTCCATTTTCTCCTGCATACTTGTTGAGCTATATAGGTTCTTGGTTAGTTTGTCGCCAGCCAGAGTTTCTTGCTGCTTACTACCCCCAATAGGCCTTTAGTCTTCAACATGAAGTCAGCGAAGTGGGTCAGCTGTTGATAAAAGTTTGCAGTGGCTTGCTGAAAATGCTGGATGTATTACAGCTACCTGATGGAAAATAACAAAGCTTGAAGTCAATTCTCCTACATAACATAACTGTGTGTACGGCATCTTAATCGTATTCTTGAATTTTAGTCAGAGTGTGTGTGTGTGTGTGTTATTTAATTCATTTGGAACTTTCCCGTTGATCGATTAGGCCAAAGTGCTCTCGGCCTCAGACTGACATGTCTGTGGCTCCTTGTTCATATGCTTCAATGACGTCTGAGTATTTAAATTGAATTAAATTGATGGATGGTAGGTGCATAACCTGGATTCCACTGCTAATCAGTAAAGCCGGGCACTTCGGGATCCAGTCAATCAACAGGAAAGTCCAAAATGAATTAAATAATGACTGATACTCGTTGCACAAGAAAGAAGTGTCCCTTTTATGATCCAACTGGTTTAGTGGATAACGCACTTGCGTTTGAAACTATGGGTGCTGCTGGGTTCCAGCGTCAGTGGGAACACCATCACTTACTCACTCATTGGATACATGTAGCTGACGAGTCGCGAACAAGGTGAAATGTGCATCCTAGTAGATCCCATTGTTAATCGCCGTCTACCAATTTACTTCAGAATGTGTGTTAATTTAAAATGAATAGTATTTCTCTTCACACCGGACCTGCTGTACCTCACTGGTCACGACTTCTCACTAGAACCCAAGTAACTACCTCCCTGAATAGAGTCAGTTGCTAGTGTGAATCAGATTGATGCGCAGGAATTTGATTGGTTACAGGATTTCATTGATATATTTAACAGTTAAAACTGTTATAATTGTACACTGACTTATTAAGGATTAAATATTGTCTACAGCTGATGATGGGAACCAATGAAATCAAATGAATCCACTAGCCTCCAAAGCCTCAGGATGGTCGGGGTGGGTGCCTTGCGCTGCGGGTTGGCCACCCCTCCGCACACCTCTTGAAATGCTCCCATATGACCGGGCGTCTTACATAGCCTCTCCTGAGGAAGTCCTACTCACTGCCTTCACGTGGCGGAGGTGTTTCTCACCAAAGTGAGAGGGCAAAAGCGGATGCCCGGTGCTCTCCACCGGGTTGATTGTCCATTGGATGACAGTCTAGGGGAGATGGCTAAACCCTGATTCCAAACATCCAACGACTGGCGTATGAAGCTCACTGGAGCTCACCGGCAGACGTATGGACAAAGGACTTGTTGGATGTCCTGGATGTCTGGCCCCATTCAAAAAGGCGTATGAACCGAACTCCGGTCACCGGCTGCCAATGGATAGTGGACTCCTTACTCCACTCCTACTGCCTTGTAGGTCACACTTGGTTGTGTAAAGGCTATAGCTGCACTCTCAAACAAAAGGCCGAGCGATGGTGGGGACATCACTCGTACCAAATTCCCATGAAACTTCATGAACTCTCTTACAAATTGCCGCGCCTGAGCAGTGATGATTCGAGACGTTCATGAAGCCGGCTCATCCTCCCGTAGGAGATAGCCGAAGTAAAGCAAAGCAAACACTAGTGTTCGTTCTTTATCTGCTCAAATTTATGAAAGGGAATTCTTGTATGATCTACTGTTAAATCATAGCTATTAATATTTGTTATTATAATTATTATTTTTAGCACAGAACATTTCCAGAGTTAATTTCATAATAACTTTTATATCCCATTGCTTTTATGTACGATGTCATCTGATTAATAATGTGAAAGTCAGCTGTTCACAGGTTTTACTTTCCAACAGTTTATTTAATACACTCTTACTGTCATCTGGCGGGGGGGGGCGGCGGGTGTAAAAATAAACTATAGTAACCACCACATGGCCTTAAGCAAACAATCAGGTCACGAGTCATGTATTCAATGTAGGTGTTTTGATTGAGGAAGTAGCTTTCTACTGATCTTACTTATCTAGGATCAAGGTTAAGATTAGAGTTAAGGGTTGGTTTGGGTTTGTGTTTTAATGGTAGGACATTCACTAACCAACCACGCACGTGGTCCGGGGTTCAATCCCCTACCGACGCATTCCTATGTAACTCGGTAAAAGCGGGGTAGTTAGATATGAGTCTAGCAACCCCACCTTGCCAAAAAGGAACACCACTGTTGATGAATCTGCAAGCGTAGAGCCCTATGTTCCACTCAGAACTCATAGTATTTTTTTTAATTTTTATTTTATTCCCTTGCGTTTCGAGTGGAATATACAGGGCTTCAAGATACACCTTTGAAGTCTCGGCAGCAGTGGTTTTATTTTAACGCGGTGGGGTTACTACCCACACGCCTAACCTTCCCTGTTTACCGGCCTTACTACCACCTTAGCGAGTTCTAGAAGTGCGTCGGTGGCCAGGAATCGAATCCCGGCCCACCTGAGTGAGTGGTTGGCATGCATTCTACTACTGAACCGCCGACGCACGATCTCAAAGTAATAATAATATTATTATTATTAACATATAATATATTACTTCCCTTATAGATAAGATTTTATTTTGATAAATCGCACAGTGTTTACAGTTATATGAACTGATGACGTTTCGAGCACAAACTATTGCTCATAATCATATCAAGTTACTCACACAACTTTGATCTCTCATTTATATACATGTGTGGAATGGATTAGATATTGGATTAAAAATCAATGTGAGATAATGTACATTCAGAAATAATCGTACGAGTGTTGTTGATCAATTGCAATTAGATGGGAAAATTGGACGAGTGTTTTTACAGTCATAATAAGCTGCTTGTTAGAATGTGTTTGAATTGAAATAGAATTTTAAGATTATTTATTATCTTCTTCTGGTTTGACTGATGGCATTAATACGAGTGTTATTGATCTACTATAATCATATGGAAGATACGACGAGTGTTTTAATAGTCATAATAAGTTTTTTGTTAGGATGTTGTGATGTGCTTGAATTGAAATAGAATTTTAATATTATTTATTACCCTCTTCTGATTTGACCTGCGGTAATAATATCTTCCATATCTCTGGTATTTGCATTGAGTCATTTTTGTTGCATGTGTTGGGTGTGGACTCGATAAATAAGGATTCCGTAATCAACCTCTCTCTCCACTTAGCTATATTACTTTTTAGAATTTTAACCCTATCCCACCCTATTGTGTGGTTGTTTGTTATTGCATGAAGTGCAATAGTTGAGCTTTTTTCTAAATTACTTATCTTTTCAGGGTCAACCATTCTTACCTTAGCTAAATTCTTATGTTCTGTTAATCTGACTATCCCTGACCTACTAGTTTGACCTATGTAGTTGACCTCAGAGTCATTGCAGGGTATTTTGTAAATTATATTATTTTGTTTAATTGGATCCACCGGGTCTTTTAGCCTACAGAGCTTGTCTCTGAGTGAGTTTGTAGGTTTGAATGCCACCCTAATTCCTGCTTTATTAAGTATCCTACGTAGGGCCTCAGATGTGCTTTCCTTATATGGTATAACAGTGGATGACTTATATTCTTTCTTATTTGTGTTATCATTAATAGTTTCACCATTATTTTTATTTTGCTTAAAAATAATGGTGACTCAATGCAAATACCAGAGATATGGAAGATATTATTACCGCAGGTCAAATCAGAAGAGGGTAATAAATAATATTAAAATTCTATTTCAATTCAAGCACATCACAACATCCTAACAAAAAACTTATTATGACTATTAAAACACTCGTCGTATCTTCCATCTGATTATAGTAGATCAATAACACTCGTACGATTATTTC